ATGTTTTTTTTTGGAGAGGTTTTCGCTACAGGGTGCGGTGCACTCACCAGACAGACAGAGAGAGACATAGAGACAGAAAGCAAGAAATCACCCCCCAGGGGGGATGATCACTCCGCAATCCCTTCTCCTCCATTCTCCTCTCAGGATCTTGGGCACGCACGCACACGCGCCCAGAGTGAGTTTTAAGCCACCGGGTCCAGGACACAAACTGCGGTCAACTACGTGGGAATCCAGCAACATAGCCATTACGCTAACTGCTGGTTCCCGAACCTATGTTTTAATAATATTTATTTCCTGAAGTCTAATTTAACTCATAATCTGATTCTTTAAGCTTCGTAAGGGCAGGGACCATGGGAGTCTTGTTTACTCAACCGAAGTCTCACACGTTGCTGACACATAGTAGAGACCTACGTATCCTTCCTTTATGTACACTGACGCTTTTCACATCTCAAAAGAAATTCTTTTCACACAGGGTATTGAGGAGATAGCACGAGGGATCTGATTTGCCTCTTTCTCTTTCCCATTGTAATCTCTTCCCCATCACTTGCAAGCTCTTGCTTTCCCTTAGCCGTGGAGGGCAGAAAACAACCTTCTGAGGTGGCCAATCATTACAGCTTTGAAGGAGTTTGCTGAAGGATCACCTCCTCCAGGAAGACTTTCCAAATTGCTATATATTGTAAAATGGACCCTGATTACCACAGTGAATAGGAAGTCTTTGCATACTCCACTGGTCCCACACAAACTAGACGCAAAAAAAAAAAAAAATAAAAAACCTCATGTTCTTGGAGAGATTTTCACTGTAGGGCGTGTGCGCTCGCCAGACAGACAGAGAGAGACATAGAGACAGAAAGCGAGAAATCACCCCCCAGGGGGGATGGTCACGCTGCAATCCCTTCTCCTCCATTCTCCTCTCGAGATCTTGGGCACGCACGCACAAGCACCCGGCGTGAGTTTTAAGCCACCGGGTCCGGGACACGAACCGCGGTTGACTACGTGGGAGTCCAGCGACATAGCCATTACGCTAACTGCTGGTTCCCAAAAACCTCATGTTCTTAATCCTTAACCACCATACCACCTGCTGGCCCTGACCTCATGTATCTTAAAACTTTGAGTCTTTACGTCTTTATATCTCTCGGTTTCTAACTTGGTATATCAAAGGAACTTGTCTTCTGGGTATTTAATTTTTTTTTTAATGTGTGTGTGTGTGTGTGTATGTGTGTGTTTAATATTATTTATTAGAGAAAAATTTTTGCTATGGGTGCACGTGCTTGCCAGGGACTAAGAGAGAGACTAAGTGAGAAATCATACCCCGTCCCCCCCATGACTGATGGCCATGCTGGCTCCTTCCCCTTTGGGGGTTTTGCCCGCCCCCTCACTGTCTGGCATGAGTTTCAAGCTGTCAGTCTAGACTCTTAGGGCCTTTGGCTACGTGGGAGTCCAGCTCCTTAACCACCACACCAACTGCTTGGTTCCTTTCTCTGTGCTTTTATGGCAGACTGTTAAAAACCATTCTTGCTCTAGGATCTAATTTTAGTATTTTTCACATCTCCCTCCAGTTCCTGTCATGGTAGCCCTACTGGGCACACAATAGGTGCTGGGTAAATATTATGTGAGGATTGGGGACTGTTTTATTGTTAATTGTCTTGTTTCAGATATCCATTTGCTGAAAAGCTAGGGGCAGAGCTTAGTGTCAGGTGCTTAATTTGCAGAGCACATTAAGGTAGGGAACACATCAGTGAGGCTATCTAATGTTTTCTAGTTAGCCATGGAGTTACTAGTCGCTTCCCTTCTCCTGAGTTAATTCACCTAACGGGTTTGGATGACTTGGGCAATCCTGCTAGTTATCTTTCCCATACAAATTAACAGCTCTGGTAAAAAGCAAGACACCTGGGTAGATATTCTGGCTTCTATACTGTCTGCGAAATCTTGGAAATGCGTTCATTTTTTTAGTCATTACGTAAATATTAATTAGCTCAAATGACATCCCAGGCACAATGCTAAGGGGTGGAAACAGTAGAGAACGGTCTTTCCATTCATGGAATTCACATTCCAACAGAAAGGGGGGGGGTGCTGTCGGCCATAACCTGCAAATTCAGTTTACCCGCCTCCAACGACTAGACAGCTGTCAGGTTTAATCAAAAGGTTTAGGGCCAGTTTATGTAGCTTTGGATCAAACCTCAGAATAGAGCAAAACCGCTGGCTACCGCAGTCGGTATGTCTGACCAATGACTATTCTGGCCTGCCTTTACCAGGGACGATGATAAGGGCTGCGACGACTCAGGTGTTCATCTTCCGCCTGGCTCCCAAACGCAGGTCGCTACTTCGTCTACCGCCTCTGGGCTAAGTGGTCAGTCACGCCTACCTGCAAAATGCCCAATGAGGTATGGTATTTGTGACTCCGAGAAAAGCCCTTTGAAAGGCATTTTTCCTTTCGTTCAAACCACGTATTTGCTAGGTGATCGGGGTCAGGGGTGCAGAAAAGATCCTGGCAGCAATGGCTTGGGCGAAGATGCGACCTTAACATCTGAATTCACAGAACTGAATGGAAAAGGCACCAAGAAGCGTGGCCAGTGACCACGCACGCGTCACGCAGGATTTAAGGCAGCGCTCGGTCTTCCATACTAAGTCCAGAAAACTCCCTCTAAAAGCCAAGTTTTCAAGTAGAGAAACTCCCATACACAATCCGCTGTAGCAGCAGACAGACCTGCAGCTCAAGCCGGGAAGACAACAGCAGGAGTCACGCGGCAGGAAGCCCGGAGTCCCACGACTGCGCAGGCTCGTAGGCCTCCGGGCGCCTCGGCCCGGCCCCGCCCAAGCGCTGGCCGCGGGCCACGCCCAGG